AGATTCGACCAACTCCGCTCTGATTCGAGCAAAACTAGTAGGGGACTTGGGACGAGGGTGTGCTAGTGGTCAGAAGGTGTGAGTTTGGGAGGGTTTAGGTTAGGCGCCACCACCAGGGGATCTTGTGGCGGCACTAGGGTTCTTGGCTCAAAATCAATATTCGAGCGGCTGGGACTAGATTTGAAGGAAGGGGAGGGTGGATTTGGAGAGAAGGGGTCAGGGCGGAGCTGTGGTGTGAAATTAGGGGTCATTGGACGAACTAGGGTTCCGACCTTATTTTCGATCTAATATTCGAAGCAAATGGCTGGGATTCGAGGGATAAGGTTTAGGGGTTCTGATTGGGGAGGTCGAGGGAATCAGTGGTGTAAAGATGGGGTCGTTTGGACCACCGAAACCGCCGTGAGGCGATTTTCGGTGGGCGGAGCATGGTGGTAAGAGGTGGAGGATCTGTTTGGTCTCTGAGAGAGACGAGATAGGAACGGGGGGTATGGCTTAGGGGGGTGTAGGGTGAGGGGTTGGACTTATATACGGGGGAGGGAATTAGATCCTGGCCGTTTGATCAATTGAGATCAACGGCTAGGATTAATTCATTAATGAGAAACGGTACTGTTTGGTTTAAGTAGAGGGTTGGCTGGATCCGGGTAACAGGTCGAGTTTGGGAACGGGTAAGGGAGATTAAATCTCAGCCGTTGGATCGATTTAATCCAACGGCCTTGATTAAGAGTGACCAAACGACATCGTTTTAAGACGTCTCTGGCCAGGCCATCTGGACCTGGTAAATGGGTGATTTGAGCCTGATTTTTGGTCCAAAAATAATGGCCCAATCCGATTTTCACTCTTTTCTTCTTTTTCTTTCATTTTCCTTTTAATTCCTAAATACCAAAATTCCTAAAATAAATTGTAAAAAACAAAATTAACTTAGAAAATACTAATTGACCTTTAACAATAAATATCGCACAAAAATAAAATATTAATTACAAACAAAATCGGGCACTTGGACATTAAATGCCAAAAATACAAAAAATATGTATTTTTTGTGATTTTCTTTATTTTAAAACCAAACTATGGTTAATTAATTCCTAATTGTAATAATAAAAATCCTAAGTGCACATGCAACGTGTTTTTTTTTTGTATTTTAATTAATTAAAACAGGATAACCGTTCACAGACACAAACACAAATAATTATCCAAAAATGCCACGCAAATTCTAAAAATTGTACAGCACGGAAATTTATTTTATTTTTGATTTCTTTTGGAGTAGTTCTCATAGGGCAAAAATCACGTGCTCACACCCGTAATCTGAAACACAGCAAAATCGACTCCCTTGGTCCAAACTATACCCATGTTCTGCAGCACTCATGGCAATGATCAATATAGTCATGTGGGTCCTCAGAAGACGCACCGCTGAAGTGAATTGGAAAGCGCTTAGTAAACTTTTCCAATCTCAATAAGGCCTCAGAAGACATGGCAGGCCTATCACCGTCCTTTGCCGCAACAACCGGCTGAACTATCCCAACTGGTGGGGATGCTAGAGTCTGATACTAGGGAGCCATCTACTCCGGAGTATGAGTAGCGGAAGTCTGTGCTCATCCCCCAGCCTAAGAGACGGCTGGTGCCACTGGAAATGTACCACCATGGGCCACACTCTCTATAAGGCCCGCCAAATAGACTAGAGCATCCTAAAGCACTAAAGTGGCGATGAACCCCTTCGAAAACTGGGCTGGTCCAACAGGTACAGTCTGAGCTGGAACATCCTCATCAAAATCTACTTGAGGCTCTACTGCTGGTGCTACTGCTCGAGCTCTAAGCTAAGCTCTGCCTCGGCCTTTGGCGCGACCTCGGCCTCGACCTCTACCCCTCGTAAGAGCGGCCACTGGGGGCTCCGACTGCTGTCCAACTGTAGATGCAGTATGTGTTCTTGCCATCTGCGAGAGAATAAGAATAGAAGAGTTAAATCATCAATGACAGAATAAAATTGCACGACAGAGAAGAATAGAAGTGAAATTGTTCCTAAACTCCATAGCCTCTGGAAGATAAGTACAGACGTCTTCCTACCAATTCTCCAGGCTCTACTAAGCTACTCGTGACTCGTGAGACCTAGGCAACCTAGTACTCTAATACCAACTTGTCACGATCCGAAAATTTCCACCTTCGGGACCATGATGGCACCTAATATTTCACTCTCTAGGCAAGACAATGTTAGACTAAATCATATTCCATTTAAACGATTCAAGTAACTAAAAATCCATTTAAACTGAAATAAAAATGGAATGATGTGCGAAAAGGTAAAATAACCAAAAATATCTAGTACAATCCCGGATTTGGAGTCACAAGTGCACAAGCTACTACAAGTTCTACAAATATAGTCTGAAATAAATACAACTGTTTCGAATGAAATGAACAGTAAATAGGAAAGAGGAACGGGACTTCAAGGTCTGCGGACGCCAGCAGATCTACCTCGAGTCTCCAAATATGCTAATCCGAGCTGATGTACCTCACGTACAGCTGAGACCAGTACCAAAATCTACACAAGAAGTGCAGAGTGTAGTATGAGTATAACCGACCCAATGTACTCTGTAAGTACCAAGCCTAACCTCGACGAGATAGTGACGAGTCTATGACAGGACACTCATGTAATTTAACATGTATAAACATAGATATATGTGCAACATAGTAACAAATAAAGATTTAACATGTAAAATTGGGAGGAAGCATGCGAAAGGGGAACAAGATACGATAACTATAATAGGAATGACAACATAAGATAGTCAAATAAATCATCAACAATGAAAAGGTATAAACATAACGAATAAAGATGGCATAACATCACTCATCGTGCTTTTACTCTCAACTTCACCATGAAACGATAAATATGGCATGGCATCACCTTCGTGCTTTTACTCTCAACCTTTCCATGAAACGATAAATACGGCACGATATCACCCTTCGTGCTTTTACTCTCTTCCTCATTATTTATTAATCAATAAATGCAACAATAAATGGCACGACATCACCCTTCGTGCTTTAACACTCTCCCTTACCATATAGTAATGAATATAAGAATTTGGGAGATAGAACAAGCAAGAATAAACCTTATGTCAATAATGGTTCCAAGATACAAAACCTCAACTTCCAAAAATACTCAACTTTCACAATTAGTTCATAAATACAGAAAGAACAATCAAGTAAGTAATAAACTAATCTAAGCATGGATATCATAATTAAAGAAGGCAATAAAATACAAGGAAACAAGTCTCACCCGCATGCTTTAACCCAACAACAACGCATAAGTATTCCTCACCTCTCATATATGTTGTACACACACATTTAAACATGTAGTAAATAGGCAAACAAGTCCTAATCCCTCAAGTCAAGTTTAACCATGACACTTACCTCACTCAGCAGTCAACCCAGAGCTCTACTGGGGCCTTTCCTCTAGAATCCGCCTCCAAACCAATCGTATTTAATCACAATTGACTCGATAACGTCAAATAATGCTAAAAGAATTAATTACACTAGATAAAGTTAGGATTTTTATAATTTTCCAAAAAAGTCAAAAGAGGTCAACCCCATGACCGCTTGGTCAAAATCCGAGATTCGGACCAAAACTCATTTACCCATTCACCCCCAAGCCCAATTATGTAATTAGTTTTGAAATCCGACTCCAAATTGAGGTCTAAATCCGAATTTGCAAGATCTCCCAATTCTTCCTAAATCCCTAGTTGTCTACCATGGAAGAACAAAGATTAAGGCTAGTAATTAATGGGTGATGTTAGAAATGGAAGAAAATGAATTAAAGTATACTAACCTATGAATTGGTGATGAATATTCTCTTCAGAATCGCCTCTAGGCCGAGCTTTAATGGAAAGATGGTGAAAATGGGTGATATCCCGCTTTTGAAATGTTTTAAGGTCCGTGCGTCAGGTCTTCATCGTGTTCGCGAAGGACCTGCCGCGTTTACGAAGCACATCAGCCAAAATGGCCTACACGTCCATGAAGGCTGCTCCCCTAGTCCTTCGCGTTCGCGAGCGAATTCTCGTGTTCGCGTAGAAGAAAGCACTGATCCCCCTTTCTAGGTCCAAAGCTTACACATTCGCGAGAAGCTGGTCGCGTTACCGAAGGGTAAGTCCCCCATTCCTCCGCGTTCGTGACCCAACTATCGCATTCGCAAATCCACCCCCAACCCAATTTACTCTTTATGATCGCGGGAGTACCTTCGCTATCGCGAAGAAGAAAATACCAGATGACAGCAGAAGCTAAAGAAAACCGGAATTTCTAAGTCTGAAACACTCGTAATCTATCTGAAACTCACATGAGCCCTCGGGGCTCAAAATCAAATATGCATACAAGTCCAAAAAGATTATACGAACTCGCTCGCGCGATCAAAATACCAAAATAACACCTAGAACTACGAATCGGATACCAAATCGAATGAAATTTTTAATAAAACTTAAGAACTTTCATTTTAACAATCGGACGTCTGAATCACGTTAAATCAACTCTGTTTTGCACCAAAAATTTGCAGAAAAGTCTTAATTACCATAATAAGCCTATACCAAGATCCGGAACAAAAATCCGGACACGGTAGCAACAAAGTCAAACTTCGGTCAAACTTGATCTTTAAACCCTTAATAAACTTCTAATTTTCAACAAATTGCGATAAATCAAGCTAGGGACCTCCGAATTTGATTCCGGACATACGTCCAAGTCCCAAATCACAATACAGACCCACTGGGCCATCAAAATACGGATTCGGGTCCGTTTGCTCAAAATATTGACCGAATTCAACTCAAATGAATTTTAAGGCACGATTTTATATTTTAATCAATTTTTCACATAAAAACCTTCCGGAAAAAGACACAGACGGCAGGCGCAGGTCCTCATCACCTACACAATATAATCTGATAATCATAGATATGCCTCTATCTACTTCCCTGCATTAGTTCGCATCTCAACAAGTAAAAGGAGAAATGAATAGAAAGTAGCGTGTTGGAGCAGGCTATGAATGGAGAAGAAGAAGAAGAATTTGAAGCAGCACTAAGAAAGCTAAGAGGGAAACATGCTGACATTTCATATGAAAGGTCCACTATACAAGTACGTACATATACATACATGTTGCTCGAGGTAACAACATAAAATATGAATGAAACGACTTACTGTTTAGTGTTTGGTTTATATTACAGGAGTATTTGACCATTCTTCAAACGCTCCCCAAAGTCACATTTCTAAACTTGTTCGACAGATCCAATTATCGAGCAGTTATTGTAAGCATCTCAACCCCTTATTTTTTGTTTTGTTAAGCTAAAATTACTTATTTTTGCTCTTCTTTCTGCTTTTAGATATCTGTTGGGTTGATGGCGTTCCAGCAGTTTGTGGGAATTAACGGAATTGTTTTCTATTCTACTGAAATTTTCAAATCAGCAGGTTTGTCGTAGTTTTAACTATATTATTGTTGTTTGTTGTAGCGTCACTGTTGCCATCTTCCACTAATTACACGTGATTTGATGTCAGGTTTTAATCCCCGTCTTGGAACGATACTTTTTGGCGTCCTACAGGTTTCTGTTTTCTCATTTCTAAAAATAATTATGAAAATTCTTTGATAATTTTCTAAAAAATATAAATGTAGGTTTATTTTCTTTCAGGTGGGAGTCACTGCAGGGGGTGCACTTTTGATAGATAGAACTGGTAGAAGACCCCTTCTAATGGTAAATATTTACAGACAAAAAGGCTGTTGAGAATTAAAATTAATCTCCCTAATTCATACTCCCCCCTTGAGTTCAACCTAATGGAAAGAGAAGGTCACATTTCTAAAACTAATGGAGTAGTATTTCTTTATTTTTCAGATGTCTGCGTCTGGCTTGCTGTTGGGGAATCTACTAATTGCATTTTCATTCTTTTTCAAGGTTAATCAATGTTATGGTTGGCGTGAGTTTAATTTTTATTTTCCCCTCTCAACTTAATCTTTTTTATAAGTATATACTGTTGTTTTATTTTCTAATAGGCTCATTCTGTGGCACCAACTTTAGTCCCCAACCTTGCAATTCTTGGCGTTTTGGTAAGACTTTGATATACAAAAGTTCATTCTATTCCTAAGTAATTACCCAAAAAAAAATATTGAACATGTCGGTTTATTTTTAAATTTGTATCGGGTACAGGTGTACATAGCCTTCTTTTCAATAGGAATGGGGGCAGGTCCTTGGCTCATTATGAGTGAGGTAACATTAATTGAAATCAACGTTTATGTTATTTTATCTTATAATAATTAAAATCAGCAAGCTATCCTTTTGATACAAGGACAAAAGAATTAAAGATGATATTTTATCTTTATGTGCAGGTATTTCCATTACATGTAAAGGGATTAGGCGGGGGTTTAGTGACATTGATGAATTGGTTTGATTCTTGGGTTATTTCTTACACCTTCAACTTTCTCATGTTGTGGAGTTCCCATGGTAATCCCATTCAACACTTATTTCTTTGTCTGAGTTTCTTTTCCCAGAAAAAAGGAAAAACTTATATTTCAGGAGTTAATGATCGATTCTCTTATTTGATTAAAATTTCTTTGAGACTAGTAAACTGTCAAAATAATTCATATCTCAACCAACAAAAGAAATTTCTAGCTGCTTTCATTAAATATACTAGTCTTTCGTAATTACGTACAATTAGGTACCAAAGACACATTATATTGTTCTTTGTGTTTTGTCGGATACAAAAGGCAGTTTAATGCACAATTCTTTTCAATGATAAAAAAAGAAGAAATCACTTTTTTTTTCAACGGAAAATCATTAGATTGGAAATGGAGTCTAAAATATTATTTTGATTTATATATTTTAAATAGTATATTGAGTAAGATATTACAATTCTTAATCGATCAAAAGCTAGACTGAAAGAGAAAACATTACATTTAACTTACATTTGATTAGTGTTAAAGAAACAACTACGAAGAAGTGCAGTATTTCCTCAACCAATTTTAGCCTATATTCTTTTTCTTATTTAATTTAGCCTATTTCGTATAAAATCTGAAACTCCTAATAGAGTATTAAGAAGAGTAGGTGTTAGAAACTGATTTTGTTCATGTTTATCATCAAAAATTTAACATTAAAGTGAAAATTTAAAATTCTATTGTTGATGATTAAAAGCTTGAAAATTCATAAATGGAATTTTTAGGTTTATTGAAATTTTTGACAAATTGATGATTGAAGCTCATTGAAAATGTCATTTTGAAGTTGTAGTTAAATATTTGAAACTATTTGATGATGTTTTTCGTAAGTTGAAATTTATAGGAGATAAAATCCAATTTTTATATACAATATTATAAAATATTATACTTAGTGTCTAATATTGTATAATATTTTATACTACGTGTATAAATACTCGTGCAAAAAAATAAATAATAGTGGGCTATGCAGCTGAAAACTTAAAAACATGACCATATAGATGAGACGTAGTAGGTTGGATTGTACTTTTTGTGAAAATCTACTAACATCTAGAAAAAATGAATACACACGTATGAAGTACAGTTCCTAACTATATATACAAAATATATATTTACAGCTGGGTCGGATCGGACCATAAATAAGAGAACCATCAACTAGGCTGATTGGGCCATTCTCTGTTACTAGGCTGGCCCAAACTAACTTGAGGTCCAACACCCCCTCCCCCCTCCCCTGCAAGCTGGAAGGGGAGGCCATTCCAAGCTTGGATATAGAGAGTTGTTGCTGAGCACCTAGGAATGACTTGGTAAAAATATCAGCCAATTGAGAGGAAGTAGAGATGGAATTGAGCTCAATAAAGCCAGATGTCAAAGCACTGCGCACAAATGACAGTCCACCTCGATATCCTGGTAAGCTCATGAAACCTGGGTTTCTGGCAATATGCACAGCTGCCTGATTGTCACAATACACGTCCACATGGGTGAGAGAAGAAACCCCAAGCTCAGCAAATAGCCGGAGAATCCAAGTAATCTCAGCAACATCAAGGCCCTATACTCAGCCTCAGCAGAAGACAAAGCAATAGTAGGCTGTTTCTTAGACTTCCAAGAGACAGGACAACCACCAAGAAATAGAATAAAACCACTAACTGACCTCCTCGAATCAGTACAACTCGCCCAATCAGAGTCACAATAACCTTGGAGAGAAAATGAAGAACTAGCAGAAAATAATAACCCCAAAGTGCTAGTACCAGACAAATATCTCAATACATGTAAAGCAACATTCAAATGGGGAACTCTAGGGGCAGACATGAATTGGCTTAAATGCTGGACTATAAAAGACAAATCAGGTCTAGTGTGCTGAAGATAATTCAGCTTACCCACAAGCCTCCTCCTATAAAGAGATGGATCAAGCAGAAGGTCACCAAGCTCAACAGACAATTTAACATGAGGGTCAAGAGGAGCCACCACTGAAGAGACATTAGAACAATGGAACTTAGATAGGAGGTCCATGATAAACTTGCATTGACAAACCAGGAAACCAGTAGACTGCCGGGTGATCTTCAGTCCAAGAAAATAATGAAGCTCACCAAGATCTTTGATCTTGAATTCAGCATCCAGAAATTGCTTAAGGGCGATGATCTCAGACAGATTATCACCAACAAGAATATCATCAACATACACAACAACAACAATTAAAGAACCATCAACCAACTTAGTAAATAAAGAGTAATCATTCAGACTAGCATGAAAACCTCTAGATTGCAATGCTAAAGATAATTTGGCGTACCTTTGTCGAGATGCTTGCCTAAGTCCATAAAGGGACTTGTTCAACCTGCAAGCTAGAGTAGTGGAGGAAGAGGAAATAGATTGGACAGAAAGACCTTGAGGAATCTTCATGAACACCTCTTCATCTAAGTCCCCATGTAAAAAGACATTATTTACATCTAACTGAAAAATCGTCCAATTTCTTTTAGTAGCTACAGATAACAGATATCTGATTTTTGTTAATTTGACCACATGGGAAAAAGTTTAGTAAGATCAATACCCTCATGTTGATTTTCCCCTCTAATGACTAATCGAGCCTTGTACCTCTCAACTGACTCATCAGCCTTCTGTTTAATCTTATATACCCACTTACAAGGAATGACTTTCTTCCCAGGAGGAAGAGGCACTATCTCCCAAGTGTTATTGGCTTCTAGGGCTTGAAACTCTTTCAATATGGCATCCTGCCAAGCAGGATGGCCCACAACTTGATGATAGAACCGAGGTTCTAGCAAACAAGCCTCATCAGATAAAAGAGAAGGTTTAGACTTAGAAACAATGGTGCATACATAATCCTTCAAATAAGCAGGAGTTTGATATGGTCTTAGTGACCTCCTTAGATGAGGAGTAGAATCAGAAGAAGATGCAGAAGGAAAAGATGTTGAAGAGGGAGTAGGAGAAACAGATGTAGAGGAAAGAGTAAGATCAGGAGGAACTACAGGAGTAGGAGAAACTGGGGAAGTAGAGAAAGAAGGGGAAATAAATGAGAAGAAGAAGATGATGACATAGAGAATGGAAAGATATGCTCATGAAAAACTACATCTCTAAAATGAAAGATGACTAAGGAAGAAAGATTCAGTAGTTTGTAGGCTTTCTTTTCAGGACTATAACCAAGAAAAACAGAAGAGATGGTTTTGGATTTAAATTTGTCTCTATAAAGTTTTGGTACAGAAGAAAAAGCTAAGCATCCAAATATTCTGAGATGAGTGAAAGAAGGAAAAGTACCATACATTAGCTGAAAAGGTGACTTATTTGTAGCAATGGGGAAGGAAATCTGTTTATTAGATATGTAGCTGTCAAAATACATTCACCCCAATACTTGACAGGAAATTTAGATTGGAAAAGAAAAGCCCTACAGTTTCTAATAAATGCGTATGTTTTCTTTCTACAACACCATTTTGCTGAGGTGTGTGTGGACATGAAGTTTGGTGGAGGATCCCTTGAGCAGAAAAGAAAGAAATTCTCTCAGAACTAGAACCCAATTCAAAAGCATTGTCAGACCTAATGACTTTAACATGACAACCAAATTGGGTTTGAATCATAAGGACAAAAGATTTAAGTATAGTAAGAGCATTTGATTTAGATGATAACAAATGAGTCCATGTTGCCCTGGTAAAATCATCCACAAAGGTAATGAAATATATATATATATATTCATTATAGGTGTGAGTGTGATAGGGTCCCCAAAGATCAACATGAACTAGCTGAAATAGTAGTCTTTCTTGCCTGGCCATGGGACAAATAGGGCACAAGAAGGACTGTTTCTTAGGTGGTTTATCAGATTGAAAAGGGATATTTTTCAAAAAAGGTACATGACCCAACCTCAAATGCCAAATATGATTAAGAGACAATGTAGAAGGTAAAGTATGAACAGTATTATCAGGTAATGAAATAGACTCAAAATTGAAATCAGAACTACTCTTATTAGAATCACCAAGGATGGCAGTTATGGTATTTACAAAAGCAGAATCACATTAATCAATGGGAGAAAGAGTATCCGAATGTAGAAGGTATAACCCTTTCTGAAGTCTACCAAAAATCAGTGACTTCTACAGAAAAGGGCCCTGCAACAAGATACAAGAAGTAGGTGTGAATAGTGCATAATTAGTTAGGTATAATAGCAATTCAGACAAAGAAATCATATTATAATGAAAAGAATGAACAAAAAGTACATTAGGAAGAGAAATATCAGAAGATAAAGAAAGTGTTCCAGTACAGGTTACTTTAACCTTGTAACCATTGGGAAGAGTTACAAGATAGGGAAAAATTAGAGGTTTAATATCTCTAAGAAGTGATTTATACGGTATCATATGATTAGTAGCACCAGAGTCTATAATCCAAACACTACTCTCTATACTAGAGACATTGCAAGCAAGAATACCATCAGAACTAGTAGTAGTAGAGGAGATCTTAGATTGTTGGATAAAAGAAATGAGTTGGTCATATTCTTCCTTAGAAAACATATGGCCTCCAACATCAGTTTGAAGCATTTTAGAACCATCTGTTCCAGAATTCTGAGAATGCCCTGCCACTTGAAAGCCATAAACTTGAGAACATGCAACATTTCTCTTTAGTCTGATTCCAGAACCAGGTGGATAGCCATGTAGTTTATATCACTTCTCAATAGAATGACCAGGCTTTTTACAATACTTGCAAATCAGGCTAGAATTAAATTTCCCAAAAGGATCAAAATTGACTCTCTGGGTGTATGGTTTTTGAACTCCAGTAGAAATTTGTTTCTGAACTGCAGCACTAAAAGATGCAGACTCTGAACTGAAAGAGGGAATTGAAGTTTTAGCATCTGCCTGACTCTCATCTTCAATCAGAATTGCATGTACAGTATCTATATCTGGAAGAGGCTTCATCATCAAAATATTTCTTCTCACATTAGAGTAGTTCTGATGTAAACCCATTAGAAATTGGTGGACTTTTTGGTCTTCTTCTATCTTCTGAAAGGCTTCTTTGCACCCACATATA